TATATATATTATAGTTGTATTCTAGGTTTCACACAGAGCAATAAAGGTCCAGAAGTAGGTGTCTTTGGAGATACCCAGGTAGCACCATACTGTAGGATCATCTGATATCCGTTCATTTATCACAAGTAGAAAAAAATTGTCGTTGTTAAATAATTAAAAAGTAAAAAATATTTTTCTAGTAACCATCGTGATTATCTTCACTGTAACTTTCGTGAAGCTGATTACATGAAGCCTGCATTTTAATGATCTAAAACTAGTATTACAGGGACCGTCGCATCGTAATTTTTTAATTTTCTTTTTTTATTTTTTAATAATTTTAACAAGTGTCTCGAGGTTATACGTCCGGTATTTCAGCCGCTTAGCATTGCTTCGGAAATCCATCAAGCACGAGCCGTTTACCTAGATGCACTTTCGAACTTAGGCCACCACACGGAGACAAAACTACCCGAAGACAAGCGACATGGCACAGCTTTAACTTAGTGATTTTAGACAAGGTTTTTGCAGAAAGTTTACAAGAGTAACTACCTCACATCCTCATAAACTATCTGTCTTAAAAATAGAACGTTATGCGTATTTTTTTTTGTCATGCTTACGGATCGCAAACACTTCATTGAGAAAGTGGAAATAGGCAGGCTCCGTAGCGTACAAGAAAGCTGTATGGCATCCGCGTAAGGCCAGCATGAAAACTGAAGGCTTTATGATATAGTGCCATAAAACTGACCAGCGAACAACCGTTCGGTCAATATGAGTGAGTATATGTGTTCATCTCGAGGAAGCTGTACCTGTCAGATAAGGTTCTAGTTAAAAAAAAAGAGCCTTAATATAAAATTAAACTAAAATTTATACAGCCTTTGGATTTTATATTGAGTGATCTTCCTCAAGAAGAAGAAGATACATTTCGCGATCGCTGGAATAAGATATTCCGAAAATACCTTGAGCCGAAAACGTATTGATACTTACTAATCTTGATTTCCGGAATGTCGACAGTAACGCGCCTGGGTCCACCTTTGACACTGCACAGGTAGATAAATGAAGGCTACGCCTCTTTCTCTTCATTGTTATAATTAAACTATACATTTCCATACGGAGCTGAACACGATCTATCATAGCTGATTCCTATCATTTTGCTTGAAAGTAAGGTTTTACAGGTGCTGGTCCGCTGCGCATTTTTTTCTACATTTTTCCACTTGTACACAAGATCTACTCACAACTATTAATATCTCACTAATAAATATGTTATCAGTTATTACAGTACGTAGTTATTTGGTTGTCTCAGAGATGCTCCTTTTTTCCTTTGTAAAAGTTCTCTATGCTTCCGCAGAAAAAAAACGTATAAAAAGTTAAATGTTCATCCGCATCGATTATTTTCTATAAGCTAGTAATTGTTTCCTACCGAAAAGTCGTACACGTACTCACTTAGGATCCCTCAGATACTGCTTGCTGATAGATGGTACAAGCTCCGGACACGGGCAAGCGAAAGCTGTTGACGCGAGTGGTTAACTGAGATATATTAAGATTGTCCGTCTGAAGCGAACTTTTCTACATTTGTATTAGATTCTGGATGTAGAAATCGTCCGAAGCGCAGTTCTGATATAGTGGTGTGACAGAATTGTTTCTACACAGATTGGACAACAGCTGTCCGGCAAGCAAAGCCGTTAGTTGCAACTACTATCTACCTTCTATTTGCTGCTGCTGCTACTGTTTTTAAGAATGTTACATGTTTTTGACGTCTCGAAGTGTTCGCAAAGCTGTCTATCGCATTTTTAGGTCGAACAAGCCTTCCGTCGGCCTACCACTCTACCTGCATTGATAGAATAGTTATAAGGACTAATCATGCGGATAAATTAATATTTATGAAATCGACTCCTTACGTTAGAGACAGATGACGGTAGTTTGGTGGGCTCACGGTGTGGTGGAATCCAAAAAGGCGTTCAGCTAACTAATGCTGGCGCGCTGTATCGCAATATGCACTATATTGCGCCTGAAAGGAAAGACTCGTATCCCTGATCGGAGGTACTGAATTTACTCTTAAGGATAGTTCTAAATATATTTTTTACCTCTTTGTAGCTATCGGTTGGTAACGCACGGAAAAACGCTCTCAATTACTTTTCTTCGCGAGTAAATTTAGTAAAGAAAAGCGTACCGCTTTCGAGACCTAATTCGTATTAATGAATTAGGTTAGTCACTTGAATCTAGATTTAGATTTGTGATTTCAAACCTAGTTATATTAAAAAATTAACGTTAAAGCTTCTAAATTTTCCGCCTAGCAAAAATGCCTAGAAAAATATCTTGGGCACTCGTTCTGCAATATCAACGTTACACACTACGAGCAACCATAGTCTTCTTTGATTGAAGGCCGACTAAAGCTTTCGGTCTGTAGTGTAAACATTGTAGGATTCCCCTGTTTCCTTCAGTTACGTCTCTATTTAACAAACACGTATTTATTAGTTAAAGGGCACCTTTAATTTCTATGCGAGCACGTACATATTCAAGCGATGTGCAAGCCTGCACACAGATCTCTCCTTTACATAGATGACTGGCTAACTTCACAGGTTGGAAAAAAGAACGAATGACAGTCGTAGTTAAACGACAATATGAAGCAGCGATAGAGTTCATAATGGTAAGCCAGTGTGCAGCTATATTATATAGCACATATATGACCAATTCAATTGCCTCGGTTGTCGCCCATTTGTGATTCGAGTGATCTGCCGCGAATGGCACACTCAAAGACTAAGCTTGTTTTCTCAATTGAGCGTCTGCACCCGTTGTCAGAGCTTCGCACCATACACCAAGATCAGACAAACTAATAATGGCATAAATAGACATTTAAAGGATTTACTGGTATAGTTTCTTTCTGAAGAACCATGTCTGATTCTATGGTTCGAAAATGTCGTGCGTATGCTGTAGAATTTCTCCTTGGAACTTCATTTATCGCAAAAGTGTGTGAACAATATTCTTTAAAAGCTCCTTATTTATTTCTAACACTTGTAGCTGATGGGCCATATTACC